GGTTCGGATCCCACATATGAGGGCCAGTGACACTGCCCTCCACAGCTAAGATGCTGAACAACAGTTCAACCTAGAGCTGGGCTGCCGTGAGTCGCCGGCGACAGCGTAAGCTGCAGCCCCTGCTGCAGTGGGCAGCCATAAGCTACTGTGTGTAGCCAGCAGCTAGTGTGAGCGGCCAGCAGCTAGTGTGAGCGGCCAGCAGCCGCTGTGAGCGGCCATCCAGAAGCCGGCAACTGATCTGCCTCGCCCGGGAAGAGCGCAATTGATGGTGCCAAGTTGGGCCAGTGAAGCAACGTCCTCCACAACTAGACTGAAGAACAAAATGATAACAACTTGTCTGTTCTCCTTCCCCCAATTCCCCAATTAAAAAAATCTTTAAAAAAACACAACAACCCAACATTTGTATACCCCCTCAAAATTTACATCCTATTTGGAAGTAGGCATAATTGACCTTTCCAAGGTAAGTAAAGTAAGATTCACATAGATACTTGCCCATGATCACATAGCCTGTTATAGGCATAGACAAAGCTTGGGTTTCTGACTCTCAAGTTAATTGCTCTTTCTACAATACAGCTTAGAGCCTGTTTGCATTCTTTGCAATCTCTGTCATGATAAACCTGTCTTTTGAGGATGTAATTTAACTTGGAAGGAGCAAAAAATGGTGAATAATGGGGAGTAATTTTTTAAAAGGAAAAAACAAAACAAAATGTCATGACTATTATGTAAAGTTAAATTTAATGTTAATAGCTCTTTAACTTTTAATTTTGTTTAGTCTTACTTTTATTTAACTCAACTTTATTTAGCTATTCTTTACCCTGCATTGGATAAAAAGGGTAAGCTTTGTACCCACTCTTTTTATATACAGAGAGTGCCCCCCAAAAAATGTATACACATTTTAAGAAAGGAAATAATATTAAAATTGTAATATACACCGGTAACAAAAGATGAATATAAATCATGTGTATACATCTATTGTGTATCCCTGGTATACAAAAGTATACGTGTGTGTGTGTATACATACCTACATACATACAGACATACACAGTACAAAAACCGATATGTAGTGTATCTGTGGTTAAAATTTCATGGGGAGATGATTAGGAAAAAAATAAAAGTGCATGGAGACGAGTAAAAATGAAAAAAACGTTTGAGAAGCACTGACTCACATGTCTGAGCTTCAGAATGTGTATAAAAAAGATGTTTACTACTTTATAGTCGTTCATATATTAATCTCTTTCTAAATCTGTGTTGACTGCTTTTAGTAGAAAGGAATTTCATTACTACAAATGATATAAAATATCCAAACAAAAATGCACAGACTAAATTTTCCTGTCAAGTAGAATAAAGACTTAGCATTAGTAGTACAAAATGTGTAAGTTCTGGTCTGAGGTTAATATTAATTCAGTTGTCTAGAAAACTGAATTCATATATGACTCCTCACTACAGTCAGTGCTAGGCAAACATGTATTATTTAACCTTTAAAAAGCTCTGTTTGGAGAAATTTTTACTAACCCAGACTTCTGGAAGGACAGTATTTGTTTTAAAGATTTCACTTACGAAAAAAACTATTTCAATGTCGTAACTGAGATTTTAACTGCCTTTAAAAAGTTAATATAGCTGGGCCGGCCGAGTGGCGCGATGGTTAAGAACTCGCTTGGGATGCCAGAGGGCCCCGGTTCGGATCCCACATATGAGGGCCAGTGAACACTGCCCTCCACAGCTAAGATGCTGAACAACAGCTCAACTTGGAGCTGGGCTGCCCTGAGTCGCCGGTGACGNGGCGACGGCATAGGCTGCAGCCCCTGCTGCAGTGGGCTGTCATAAGCTACGGTGAGTGGCTGGCAGCCAGCGTGAGCGGCCAGCAGTCACAGTGAGCGGCCGTCCAGAGGCTGGCCGAATATGCCTCACCTGGGAAGAGCGCAATAATACCAACATGGGCCAGTGAAGCGATGTCCTTCACAACTAGACTGAAGAACAAAAGGACAGCAACTTGTCTGTTCCCCTTCCCTGATTCCCCAGCGCTGTTCCCGTCCCTCAATTCCCCAATAAAATCTTTAAAAAGCAAACAAAACAAAAAACGGTCATGGTAAAAGTTCATGCCAATCAAACTTAATCCTTTCAGTTTGTATTTACAGTAACACCAGTGGAAAAGGTAAGATTAAAACATTGTGTGCCAGACACTTATACACATGCTATATCACGTTTCATCCTCACAACTCTAGAGGTAGTATCCCCATTTTGCAGGTTAGGAACCCAAGGCTCAGAGAGCTCAGGCACCAAGGAATTATGCATGTGATATTTAATATTCCGACTTTTTAAGCTAACTATATGGTCTCTTCTGCTATTTGATAGTTCCTTTCCTAAGAAACTGCAAATGGAGAACTGACTCTAGGTGGTGAACAATATTTAGATGATGTATTATAGAAATGTACACTTGAAACCTATATAATTTTACTAACCAATGTCACCCCAATAAATATAATAAAAATTAAAAAAACGAAACTGCAAATGATCAAAATATCACATCATAAAAAATTTCAGGTTATAAGAATATTAGAGATTATATAGTTTCAAACTTGCAATAACCATATTATTTCTCCTGCAGGAATTTCTACAATAGAGGTATATATGTTACTTATAAATATCACCGAGTATATTCTATCATTTGATTACATCTAGCCGTGGCTGAGAGGTTATGACCTACCCCTACACCCCCATCACCGGCAGTACTATTATTAGCAAATAGGTTCTTATATGTGCACATTTCATTATACATATTTATGAGAAAGAAAGTATGATGCAATTCAAGCAAAGAAACCGTATCCTAAAAATTTTTACTCCTGAGTGTAGTGCTAGTTTCTGATAACTGTTAGGTCTGGTCTGAGTAATGTAAATAGTGTTCCCAAATTAATCAAATAATATCAAATTTCATGTTATAAAAACTATGCTGTGAGAAAAATGCCTGTACATCTTAAGTATTTACAAATTACTCAGTTTAATTCTATGTGCAAATATGCTACAGATCATTACATTTTTCTGTTAGGGAATGTTCTAAGGGAGTTTTGTAGTTAAGAGCCTGTGTTCAAATTCTAGTTCTCCCTCTCTGGTTATTTGATCTCCCTAAGCTACAATTTCCTCATTGGAAAGATAGAACCAATCCTCAGAATTAAGTAAGGATTACATGAGATAATGCAGATAAAATACTTAGCTCAATGCCTACCACATATAAGGCCTCTGGATGTTAATAATTTTGATTTTATTAAAATACCATACTGACCAGAATGTCTTCCAGTTTCATATCCAACATATCTGTGCCAGTAATATATTTCTTCCAGTCCTCTTCTTGCTCCTGTTCTCCCATATTGTCCAGGATTAATTCAAAGAAAATAACCTTTTCAGAAATGGTGCTGAATGTATTATCAAAGCAGAACATGTAGTCACCAACTTCAGTCTCTACCCTGTGTTAAAAAAAGGACACGTCTTCAATTGTCTGTACTTCTATTTGGGATCAGAAGAAAAACTGCAGATAGAAAAAATAATATGGTTTATAATAATTACACAGCTTACTGGTAGACTTCCTTAGTATTTAAAGATAATTTATAATTTCTTGGGAAAGAGACAAACTGGAAATATATATTCAGGTACTTGGAACTTAGATGTGCTTGGCCTTTACTCAGTAAATTATGGTAAATGATGTTGACCTAATTTTTGGAAAAGGACAGAATTAAAAACCTAGATACATGATACCTCATAATGAACTTCAGTATTTATGTTATTAAAAGTAATTTATCATGAGTTGAACTCATATGCAAATAGGACTACAAACCTCTTCTTCCATTGAGTTTAATCTGTAAATTGAGTTTTGTTTTGTTTTCAAAAGCAGTAATGGATTTTCCTAAATACTTTTTTTTTTGTTTTTAAAGATTTTTATTGGGGAATTGGGGGGATGGGACCAGTACAGGGGAACTGGGGGAAGGGGAACAGACAAGCCGCTGTCCTTTTTTTTGTTCTTCAGTCTAGTTGTGGAGGACGTCGCCTCACTGGCCCAAGTTGGCACCATCATTGTGCTCTTCCCGGGCGAGGCAGATCAGCCGCCGGCCTCTGGACGGCCGCTCACTGCGGCTGCTGGCCACTCACGCTGGCCGCTGGCCACACACGGTAGCCCACGGCAACCCACTGCCACAGGGGCTGCAGCCCACGCCGTCGCCGGCGACTCAGGGCAGCCCAGCTCCAGGCTGAGCTGCCGTCCAGCATCCTAGCTGTAGAGGGCAGTGTCACTGGCCCTCACATGTGGGATCCAAACCGGGGCCCTCTGGCATTCCAAGCCAGCCCCCAACCATCGCGCCACTCGGCCGGCCCCCTAAATACTTTTTTCCAGGCCTTCTACCAATTAAGTACGTTTTTGTAATACAGTTCACAAAGGTTAGGGATGAGGTCAGTGGCCAAAATCCAGAGCTTTACTCTCAGTGGCATTGCCTTGACTAAATAAATGCCACTCACATCTAAGCTAAACTTATCTTGGTTTCACATTAGCTTCACATTCAAGATAATTGGCCTGGGCAAAGTTAATTTAGCAAAGTGGTTTTCTAATAATTTTTTTTGTGGAAAGACTTTAACAAGGAAAATATTGTACAGGCTAATGACATTTATTACTACTAGCTACAAAAACAGTTCAAACTCTTTTACTTTTTGTTGTGATTATTCATGGAAGGTTAGTCGAAATGATTTTGAAATTTTCTTATCTCCAGTATGCTGGATTGCTAAAATTTTGAGGTGGCTTGGTTTATTTTCCATAGCATTCTGAACACAACGTGATTCTCATCTTTTAAGCCAATCTCCGTCTCTTTACCTCCCATTTCCAACTCATTATTTTTGTTTAAACATAAAAGATAACTACTATTAAATGTCATTAGCTCTTAACATACATACTATAAATAAAAATATCCTGTGGACCGGCCAAGTGGCGTGATGGTTAAGAGCTGGCTTGGGATGCCAGAGGGCCCCGGTTCGGATCCCACATATGAGGGCCAGTGACACTGCCCTCCACA